TTGCACAACATTTTAATTTTGTCTGTGGGAATCTGTGCCCATTCAACCAAAACTAAATTGTGAGGTCAAATACTTATGTTGGATGAGGAGACCTGGATTACAATCGGCATACCGCATCTCAATTTATTCGGAAGATGTTCTTATCTTCTTCTTCTTCCACAGTAGAAATATATACTATATTGTCAAATGTTTGTGAACACTTAACCATCACATCTATATGAGCTTTTTGGATATCCAACTTCAAAACCATAACTATGTAGTTGGACCGACTTTGTGGCTATAACAGCTTCCACTCTTCTGTCAAGGCTTTCCGCAACATTTTTGAGTGTGTCTGTGGTAATGTGTGCCAAAGAAATTTGTGAGGTCAGATGCTGATGTTGGATGAGAAGATGAGAAGACCTGACTTGCAATTAGCATTCTAATTCATTCCAAAAGTGCTCAATATGGTTGAGGTCAGGACTCTTGAGTTCCTCCATACCAAACTCATCAAATTATGTCTTTATGGAGGTGACTTTGTGCATGTCACTGGTGGGCACAGAGCCTGGATTTGGGCATTAAACGTATACTAAATGTAAATAGACATTCTTTTTCATTTTCATCCGCTTATGTAAAAAAATAAAAATTAATTAAAATACGTTGCTTTTCCAGCTAATAATAATTACCAGTGAACATTCCAAAAAGTGTCAATATACACGTCGGCATTGCACAATTAATCCGCTGGGTGTGCGACGATAAGAGCATAAAAAGCAGTACAGAGCCTGGATTTGGGCATTAAACGTATACTAAATGTAAATAGACATTCTTTTTCATTTTCATCCGCTTATGTAAAAAAATAAAAATTAATTAAAATACGTTGCTTTTCCAGCTAATAATAATTACCAGTGAACATTCCAAAAAGTGTCAATATACACGTCGGCATTGCACAATTAATCCGCTGGGTGTGCGACGATAAGAGCATAAAAAGCAGATTATTGTAATTTTCCTTAATACTTTTATCCGAAGAATAAACTCTTCAACATTTACTTAACAAATAAAAAAGAGATTCGTTTTTAATTATGCTTCTCTTCTGACATTTTGAAGAAGTGGAAAAACTGAAAATAAATTGTAAAATCTTTTGCTCGCAGTATGTGGTATAAAAAGATTACGCACATCGTTTCTATCTGCAGTCAATGAAAATCACGACTTATTGGACTTTGGTGAAATTATACATTATAAAAGCAAAGACGGACGGGTGAGCTTATAAGGATTTAATCTCCGCTCTGGGAAAAAAAAAAAAGCTTCTGTTCATTTCTTGAAATTGTGCCGATTACGTAGAAAAAGGAAAAACTAAGGCTATTTCGAATGACTGATCTCTTGGGGGGGGAAAATGGATATCTTAGCTCTATTTTATTTTCCTAAGGGTTTCAAGAGAACTGGTCACTTGAAAAATGAAGAATACCTTTATACCTTTTCTTGTAGACACTCATCAGATGTATAAGTGCCATTACAAGGTCTAGAAACATCTTCTCAAAAACAGAAAGCTAGCTTCAAAAAGTTAGGTGCTTGGAACAATATATACAGTTCTCCTCATCTTCCTCAATAGTCATATGCACCATATGACCAAAGGTTTGTGGACACCGGATGCATCACTCCTATATGAGCTTGTTGGACATCCCATTCCAAAACAAGAGAAATGAGCATGGAATTGGCCACTCCGTCCTTATGGGAAGGCTGTCTACAAGATTTTGGAGTGTGTATGTGGGCATTTGTGCGCATTCAGCCAAAATAAAATCTCTGAGCGCAGATACTGATGTTTAATAAGAAAACCTGCCTCCAAGTTGGCGTTGCAATTCATCCCAAAGGTATTCGGTAGGGTTGAGGTCAGGGCTCTCTGCAGGCCACATAAGTTCTTCCACATCTAGCTAATTAAACCATGTCCATGGAGTTGGCTTTGCACACAGGGGCGCTGTCATGGTGGAACAGAAAAGGGCCTTCACTGGAAATACCTCAACACGACAATTTAGAAAGGTGTCTACATATTTGTGGCCACCTAATGTGTGTAATAGTTCTTTATCCACAAACTTTTGGCCATATAGTGCATACAGTCCTCTTCACCTCAACAGTAGCCATATATACAGTTATTATTAAATGTCCCTCATCAGCATTAGATGTACAACTCTCTACACCTCATTACAATAAAATAGGGTATACACATGCACCCCTGCAGACTGAAGGAAGAAAACATAACAGATTTCTCTATCCCCTTGAACAGCGCGGATGGACGAATTCCTAGCTGCTTCTATTATATTCTGACAGCTGATGGCCGCTGTCTGTATACCCACATGGAGCTTGCAATTGATTGGCGGAAGATTTTCCAACATGTTTATTTGGCAAAAGTCCATCTAATGATCAACATCTGGATGAACGAATAGGTTTACCAATGCAGTGAATTTTGGCCAATTCATGCTGAATCATCTTAAATGCGCTCCTTCTGTACCCGGCTTAATATATACAGTCCTCTTGCTCCCAATTGCACCCATAAATACAGTTCTCGTCACCACCCACAGTCACCATATGCACAGTTCTCTTCACCCCCCATATTTACTGTTCTCTACTTCCCTCACAATCCATGGCTCTAGTATTATTAGAGGTATTATAGTGTTTATTATAGTGTTTAACAATTACCACTATGCCTCATATAATAACAATCATTAATCACAAAGCTCCCCCAATTTGTTTATCAGACAGGCGATCGCTGCTTAATGCATTATCAGACCATATGACACATGAAACTGAGGGTGGGTTCCATTGCCTGGAAGTGTGCACAAAGAGGAAGATCACCCATCTGACAAATAGGTCTGGGAAGGCCAGCTTATGGACAGAATGTCTTGGTCAACAAGGGATTTTTTTAGCCAACCTGGTAACCTGGTGACCAGGATTTGTCCAGTTCAGCTTGACAGGGAATAGGTGTTGGACTGTGCAGCCAGAGGATACTTGAAGCTAGATACTAAGTAATAAGTGATTGCACAATTCATCACTGTGCCATCTACTAAAAGATGAATTATTGGTTGATTTGGTTTAACATTAATGGTCTGCTTTCACCATGAAAGATTTTAAAATCCTACAGTAATATTCTCAGCATAAGCTTATGCCGATTTCTACAAACTGTATAAACGGGATTAAACTTTTTAATGCAAACATTAGATGACATTACAAATCATTTAATTCGAATTTATCTCAGTGTAATGAATAGATTTAAAGGTCATGGACGTTTGCTGAATCTGCTGGCCATCGCTGGTTTTGCCACGAATATTATTTAGACTTTATAGTAGAACCTTCTTTGCTCACTGGATATTGTGACACCTAACCTGGGATGAAGTAGAGCAAACTAGAACAGCCACCAAGACATGAATACACTTCTGAGATACCCCTAATAGCAAAATGTTTGTGGACATCTGGCCATCAAATGTATACTATATGAGCTTGTTGAACATCCCATTCCAAAATCAGGTCCAAAATCAAGCACATAGCAATGCAATCTGCACTGATAAGCAATATCATGCAAAGACAGTTTAGACAATTGTGTTCCTCCAACCTCCCCCAAAAAGGTCCTTCCCTGTGCCACCATGTCTGTGCCCCTGTGCACAGGGTCAGGTGCATAAAGAGATGTTTTTTTGTTTAGTGTGGAGGAACTCAAATGGCCTGCATACAGGCCTGACCATAAACTTTCTGAACACCTTTTGGATGAATTGGAACACCAAGCGTGAGCCAGGTCTTCTCATCCAACATCAGTACCTGACCTCACCAATGCAATTCCGGCTGAATGGGCGCAAATGTTTCACAAATCTTATGGAAAGCCTTCCCAGAAAAATAGAAGCTGCTTTAATTGCAAAGGGGGCCCAACAACATATACATGCCCATGGTTTTACAATTGAATGTCTGACAAGCTCATTTAGGTGTGATAAACAGGTGTCCACAAACTTATAGCCATAGAGTGTAAGTCACAATATAACCAAAAGAACACAAAGAAGTTTATTTCCTGCTGCTATACTGTGACATCACTGAGTATCTCTGTACCTTGATAGACCACTAAGAACTAAATATTTTTGGTTAATAACAAATACAAAGGCAAATGCTCATGTCAATGGGAAAATACAGCATGCTTCTAGGTGCATTTTGCTTGCATATGATATCAGTTCTGAAATTCAGAGTTCATTGGTGGGTGCATTTGACCTGCAATGGACCTCTTTCTGACCTGATTTTGGCCTTCTTCTAAGCTGCATCAACCTGTTTCAAGATGTTTTTGCATTGACATTTATGGAGCAAGAAATTCTGACGTAAACTCTGACGAGTCTTACTATGCTCCCCATTATATACAATGATGCAACATAAATAATGATGCTGCCAGACTTATTTACATTACCAACCGCTCAGTGGGCACCACCCCTCTTCCAGTCCCTCCACTGGTTTCCATCCCCTACCCCTCTCTGCCAATCACTCCACTGGCTTCAACTTGCCAAATTAATAAAATTCAAAATACAAAAACAACATACAAAGCCAATCACAACTCACACCCAAGCTAGATCACCGCCATCTCTACATATCATCCATACCGTCCTCTCTGCCCCTCCGAAAACCCCCTGATCCTCGTCACTTCCTCCCATGCTCACCTCCAGGGCATGTTCAGAGCCCTTCCCATCATCTGGAACACCCTATTCAAATCTGTCCAACTATCTTCTACTCTTGCAACCTTTATGCGATCCTTGAAAACTCATCTCTTCAAGGAAACCTCCCCTGCCTCCAACAAAAACTGTACTTTTACCATCAGCTTATACCTCACAGTTAATGCCTTTTGTATCACTTGTACCTCCCCTAAGATTGTAATCTCTCACAAGCAGGGCCCTCCTGTATTGAATAGTATTTCATGTGTACTATCTACCTTTATTTCCTGTATAATAATAACAATGATAATAAAGAAGAATCACCAAATAGAAATCAATTTTGGTTAATTTTGTACTTACGTTCTGGCTGTGTTGAAACTTTAACAGGCTGTGAGCTCTCCCCTGGCCCCCATTCATTGTAGGCGACAATTCGGAAAGAATAGGTCTCCTCTGGTTTTAGGTTCCCCACTGTTAGCTGCAAGGCTACCGACTGTGTTGTGTTCAAGGCCCGTTCCCTACAGAGAGAGACACCAGCACATCACAAATAGCAAACAACAAAGCCAGATACTTTTACACTTCCCCAAACTGTGTCACCTTGTGACCCATATTCAAATATAACAAGTTAATGTTAGGTATAGCTCCTGCCGAGCACTGCCATCCATTTTAACTAAAGCACCAGAACAGTTAACAGTAATATTTATTTGCTGATGGAAACCAGTAGTCTGAGTCATCCTCTGGCTTCTTGTAAGTCTTGGATACTCCAACAGCGAGATTGGCTTGCTATACCTCCCACCTCCGTTCCTGACCACCTGGGAGTTTGGGGTATTCCATTTTCTCTTGTTACATTGCCATTGTGTAAAATAAATAGGGAGAGAGGGGACCCCTTATAATGGGAACAGCAGGTGTGCAGACCCAGAACTCAGCAAAGAGATCTCACCCATAGAGTCTCCGAGTGATAAAGGAAACGTCAATTTAACTCTCCAGCAGGTTTCAAAAACGGAAAAAAACTATGTTTTGGAAACTTGTCCTTCAAACCCCTCTCATCATCCTGCATAAATACTGTCCACATACGCTGGGATTCTTCTTGGAATGCCAAGCTTCTAATACTAACGCTGGCCATACACTTTAGGCTTTTTCTTATTCAGGCTGAACAAGAAAAATCACACGATTCCCCCAGTTCTATCTAAAATTAAAACAATTAAAAGCTTTTCTTGAGTTTGGCTTTGAACAATTGAACAGTGAAATGAATCCTTTAGAATTTAATTTAACCTTTAACCCCTTGCATCATATTATCACCTTCAAAGCAAGAAAAAAAACATTTAGACTTGGTCAAATGTCTATATTCTACTGTTATTTATTTTAGGATATGTATCCTTAGGCTCATCAAGGAGACATTTTTTTAGAGTGTTCAAATGCGAGAGAGAGAGAGAGAGAGAGAGAGAGAGAGAGAGAGAGAGAGAGAGAGAGGACAAAAATAATCAAAAGGAATAATGAATGAGGCTTGAACAGCTCTTATGTCATACAAAAGACGAGGTTTGAGAAGACTTGAACACATGTCGACAACCCATGGCTTCCTTACACCTTAGCTTGTGACTGCAAGTGATACAAGGCACTTTGTCACCTAACATTTGTAAGCCCCTCCGTCTTGACTACAGATATGAGATGCTGCTGTTCTGTTAACTCGTTTTGATCTTTGCCAGAAAACCTGACATGACATGATCCCACTAATACAAAAAGGAAAAAAAAAGAAGAAGAAGGAGCTGCAAGGTCTACAGGATGTTACCAGGCTTTGAATGGAGCCGAGATAGAGCCACAATTTTCTCATAGCACCTAAATAATGCAGGAATATAGATAATTTACTTTAGGAAAAATCCCGGGCTCATCACTTTTTCATACTATTATTTCTGGCTACAAAATGCATTTAATTTTTTACGCATTTTTCCTCTAAGGTTTAATAATGTAAAATACAAACAGATGAGGATTCGATCCTGTAGAAGGCGATGCTGGGACGATTGTACTTCTGCGGTTGGATGTGTTGATTCAGTAAAAAGATGCTAAAGCTTTGAACAACTAATTAGACTGCAGCCACTGTTTTTTTTATAGTGCAGAATAGAAACTGAAAGCTAGGTTCTGATTGGTTGGTATGTTGAATCCATCTCCGGCCAAAACAAAAAAGTACCCTTGCAGAGGTGCTACCCCACACTGCAAGGGTTAGGTGCTTGATTTTATCTAGGAGCTGGAGTAGGGCAGATTTACTTACCTGATCCCCACTCCCTCTGGCAGTCAGCTCTCTGCTCTTCCCTCCCTCCGCTCTTGCTGGTAGAATGTCCCTCAAAGTCTCCATGTCTAATGCAGGTCTTTGGAACAGGGGCAGCCTTTAGACCACCAGAGCGAAGAGAAGAAAATGCTGCGGGAACTGGTATAGCAGCCCTGAGGGAGTCAGCAGGAGCGAGGATCAGGTAAGTAAAAATCTTTTATTCCAGTCCCCTAGCACTTGAAGGAGTAGTTTCGGGAGAGTAAAATGTACTCTTCCCAATACTTAGTGTGACACTGCAGCTGTCACATGCCGGCTCTATATATTAAGAGCTGTGCAATCATGAACCGCTGATCAGTCCCTGCAGGAATTCACTGCTCCCCTCTCTCTGTTCCTCCGTTGCTCATTGGAGAGACAGATAGGGGAGAAGGCGGGCACAGCTGGATCTGGCTCTAGAGAGGCAGAGCCAGCGGTTAATCAGGCAACAGGTTGGATCCCAACAATATTTTGGGGATCTTTCCCGGCTGCAGCACGGCTTTGTGCTGCCAGTTTCCCAGCCAATCAGCAAGGAGCCGACTGTTTGGCTCGCTCTATGCTGATTGGCCAGAAAGCCAGCATCCCAGCCAATCAGCATTGGTCCAGCTTTCCAGACAATCAGAAAGCCAGGAGGTGTGCCATTACTCGCCACCCAGCTTCCTGATTGCCCAGGAAGCCGGCTCCATGTTCCCCTACGGAGAACATGGAGCCTCTGACAGGAAGCTCTGGTATCAGGGAAGGTACTCGGTATCGGCACCGATACCAATACTAGTATTGGTATCGTGCATCTCTAATCATAAGGTATTCTCTTGTACTTATAGAACAGATATAACAAAACCTTTCCAAATAATTGTATAATTAACAGGGAGTAAATAAGAGAAGTTAATTGTCAGAGTTTACATACACTTTATATATTGTATACAACACAAGATTATTCTCATTATTCCATCTCCCGGTAATTGTCAGTTGATGGTTTGTCAGTCATTTTTTGAAAGTGTGCTGGAAGTGAGACTTTTGTGAACATTAAATTAGGTAGCGCCATCTTATTATAATTTTTACACTTCATTTGATAAGATAACACCAACACCTGCTGGAGCTGTCACTGCATTAAGATTTAAATATAGACATTTTTCCTCTTGCAATTAATACCTGTTAGTAAGCAGAGATAGATTTTTGTGATTCATTTACCCTGTAAATCCTTATTATTTCTTTATATTTTGTTGTTTTAGTTGTTTTAGGGCTCGTTCATACTTTTATATTAGGTTATTTTTTGTGTGTGGAGCTGAGGAACATAGGAGATACATTTCTTTCTATGCTCCTCAGCTTCATCTACTTATTTCCTATGGTGCTCAACTCCATCTAGAGGCCATATTAAAGTATTACATTACATTTAACGTGAAAAGTATTTCCGATGCTCCTCAGCTCTATGTCGTGGCCATAATGCAGCATTACATCACATTACATTCAACCAGCAAAGAAAATATACTAAGGGGTCTATTCACAAAGCTGCTGAAGGATCTAGCCGTAGCTTCGGCCGATCCTTCGGCTAGCTTCGGCCCCAGGACCCCTTTGGTTCAGTAGAACCGAAGGGGCGCTGTACGGGCTATTCATTATAGCCCGTACAGCTCCCGAACATGGCCAAGCGCCTAACGCATATGCATCGGCTCGGCTGAGCCGCGCTGACAGCCTGCTTCTGACCACTGAAGATCACGGCTGGCTCCGGCCACTTGCAGAGAGATCAGCGTCCCTGGTTACCTGCTAACCAGGGACACTGATCTCCAAACAGCAAACTCTCCCTGGCGCCCCAGGAGTCTCCTGCTCCCGGCCGCCAAGGAGAGAAACACTGCTGTGTCTTTTTTTTTTCTTTATTCTGACACGAGCGATGTTATAACCCAGGGTACTTAAACCACTGTCCCAAATGTCGGGAACAGGCTGCGTCACTATTTCACTGCCTGTGGATCTGCCCCCTGATTCAGAGTTACTGGAGATCAGTGATAGATTTTATAGCCTCAGTAGTGGGTCAACAGATCCCATTAGACCCCCTTCTACTGTTGTTTGGCTATTGGGATCACTCACTTGTGTTGAGCAAGAATCACAGGCAGTGGACAAACATAGCCTCCCTAGCAGCCAAACGATGTATAATGAAAGAGTGGCTTTCCCCACATCCTCCCACCGTACAGGGTTTACGACATTCTCTCCTAGATCTACTCCATCTGGAAAAATTGGATGCGGAGACCCAAAGGGAGGAGGAGAACAGGGTGACTCTCTTTCTTCGTAGATGGATGTCCTTTATCGACAAGGCATTTACTGCTCAGGAGAGGGAGTCATTCTTGTCCCCCTTTCAATACTCAACATACACACTACAGGCCAAGTTAGGGGGTAACTCATGAAGATCACCATGCCAAAGGATGCATCAACTGCGGGGATTAGACCCTTAAATAGTTTGGCATACAAATATCACATTGATACTAAGATACCATTGGTCCTACAATGCATGGCTGGACGACTTTGTATTTATATTGGGGGCCTAAAGAGCTGGGATTACTTAACAAAGGTGGGTAGACAAACGACCTTTAGGTGAACGGTTTACGAAGAGAGTTGAGATATGACACTAATTAAACTGGCAGGACATATGCTAATGTGTTTAGGAAAAAAAAAAAAAAAAGGATGGGTCGAGGTTTTATTGATACTGCAGATGTACCGTCTAAACTGTTAATGCTATGCATATTTGGTGCTGTATGGTACGCCTGTATATGTCATGTAATGTTTTTTCCGTTTCTTCCTGTCCGACAATAAAAAAAAAAAGAATAGGCCGAACAGCAGTGAGTAGTAGTTACACACATGTCAAAATGCCTTGATGATTGGGTGTCAGTCTGGAGGAGTGGGCATTCCTAGGCAGGCTTCATTTGCATGCAGACCACCCTAAACAACGTCCAAATGCGAAACCGAACCATGATTGCGAGAACTGATTGAGAGAAAAGAAAACGGTGGAGCAGTAAGGCTGGGGAGGAAATGCTTTGCATCCTTCAGTCAGGAAATTAGGTGGGCTCTGTCTGACTTGCTGCCGCTTCTAATGCACATTGTGAGATGCTCACAGCAGTCAGTAATTTCAGTCCAGGAGAGGAGCCGGTACAACTGTGCAAGACTGAAAGGTTCAGCTTTAAATCCCGCAAGGAATGCACAATACACAGTACCAGCGGGTGACCGGCCAATTGCGGCTCCTGG